AATAGCATCAAGATAAATGGAGAAAAGACTGAAGTTGTCAAAGATCTCATTTTGCTTGGCTCCAAAATCAACACTCATGGAAACAGCAGTCAAGAAATCAAACCATGTATTTTATTAGGCAAATCTGCTGCCAAAACCTCTTTAAAGTGTTCAAGAGCAAAGATTGCAGGACTAAAACCATGGTCATTTCAATCTCCTCATCTGCATGTGAAAGTTGAAAGACAGGAGAAGAATTGATGCATTTGAATTATGGTGCTGGAGGAGAATATTAAAAGTACCATGGACTGCCAGAAGAACAAGCAAATCTGTGTTGGAAGAAGTGCAGATGAAGTGCTCCTTGAACCCAGGATGGTGAGACGTCATCTCTCATTGTTCACACATGTTATAAAGAGGCACCAGTCAGTTCCTGGAGAAGGACATCATGTTTGGTAAAGTGGAAGGTCAGCAAAAAAGAGGAAGACATTTTCTGATGGACTGTCACAATGGTAGCAGTTATGGGCTCAAACACATTGATTGTGAGGATGGTAAAGGAGCGGGTAGTGTTTTCATTCTGTTGGGCATAAGGTTGCCATGTGTCAGAATTGATTCAATGGCACCTAGCTGGCATTCTTCAAAAGCAAGGGAAGAATGCTGAACTAACAGAGATAGAGGAGACTAAGGCGACATAACAGTTAAAAGCAATGTAGGATACTTGGATTAGATCCTGAAACAAACAAAAAAACGGTACTAGTGGGGAAAAAATTGATGAAATCTGAAAAAGGCCTTATTTTATAGCATACTATCGCAAAGTCGGTAATTAGTAGCACTACTACCAGGGATAGGGAATGCCCAGCCCTCAAACCATATTTGTTGTTGTTGTTAAGTGCCGAGTCAACTCTGACCCATAGCGACCCTGTATCAGGTTTCCAATGGGCAGCTGGTGAGCTTGGACCATGGACCTTGCAGTTCAAACATCTTTATAGTCTGGCGCATTAACCCACAGCAACACACCAGGACTCCTCAAACCATATTTGTTGTTGTTGTTGTTATGTGCCGAGAAGCCGGTTCCGACTCATAGCGACCCTGTATAGGGTATCCGAGGCTGTAAATCTTTACGGGAGCAGAAAGCCTCATCTTTCTCCCGTGGAACAGCTGGTAGTTTAGAACTGCTGACCCTGAGGTTAGCAGCCCAATTCGTAACCACGACGCTACCAGAGCTCCTGCCAACCATATAAGGCCCGCAAAATCATTTGGTCTGGCCCTGCCAAGGCAACCACAGTTCCAGCCATCTCGTTGTCGGTTCCAACTCAAAGCCACCCTGTCTAGTGTTTCTGAGGAGCATATTGTGGGTTTGAACTTTGCAGTTCAAACTATCCTTACAGTCCTGTGTTTATCCTAACAGTGCCACAGCAAGACTCCAGCCATCACATCAGGGGTGAGTTAATAAATGTTTGACCAAATAATTTTTGTTGTTATTAGGTGCCATTGAGTCGGTACCGACTCATAGCGACCCTATGCACACCAAAACAAAACATTGCCAAGTCCTGGGCCAACCTCACAATTGTTGCCACGCTTAAGCCCATTGATGCTGCCATATTGCCAATCCACCTCGCTGGGGGTCTTCCTCTTTTTCTCTAACCCTCCACCTTACCAAACATGGTATTCTTCTCCAGCGACTGGTCCCTCCTGACAATATGTCTGAAGTATGAGAGATGAACTATGGCCATCTTGGCCTCCAAAATGAACTTGAACTGCACTTCTTCCAACACAGATCTGTTGGTTCTTTTGGCAGCCCATGGTACTTTCAATATTCTCTTCCAACACCATAACTCAAAAGCATCATTTCTTGTACAGTCTTCCTTATTCACTGTCTAGCTTTCACATGCGTATGAGGTTATTGAAAATACCATGGCTTGGGTCAGTCACACCTTAGTCTTCAAGCTGACATTGTGCAGCAGATTTGCCTAATGCAATACGTCGTTTGGTTTCTTGACTGCTGCTTCCGTGAGTGTTGATAGTTGATGCAAGAAGAATGATGTCATTGACACCTTCAATCTTCTCTCCGTTGATAAAAATGTTGTATTGGTCCAGTAGTGAGGATTTTTGTTTTCTTTACATTGAGATGCAATCCATACCAAAGGGTCTTTTATCTTCATCAGTAAGTATTTTAAGTCTTCTTCACTTTCAGCAAGCAAGGTTGTATCATCTGTATACCGCAGGCTAATTTTCAAGTTGATAATTTTGTATGGTCCGTTAATAATATTATAAATTTTGGCCAAAAAAAAAAAAAAGGTTCCCCACTGGTACACTATATCAAGGCTTATTTCTTAGTTTAATATTTGAACTATGGTTATAACATATGTCAGCCTTAAGAAAAGCTGGATGAAGACTACACATGAAACTGCTCGACTATTTTTGCAACTTTCTTTGTTGTTGTTGTTGTTAAGTGCCGTTGAGTCGGTTCCGACCCATAGCGACCCTGTACAGGGTTTCCGAGGGTGTAAATCTTTACGGGAGTAGAAAGCCTCATCTTTCTCCCGTGGAGCGGCTGGTAGTTTCGAACCGCTGACCTTAAGGTTTGCAGCCCGATTCGTAACCACTACGCTACCAGAGCTCCTGTGCAACTTTCCTAGGAGATTTAAAAATTTTCCAAACAAGTGAAAAACAAAAACAGGATTTGTGATCATAATAAAATTGGGATGAGAATCACTCCATTTTCCAAGTTTATTCCCCTATCAGTAACACTGAGAGACTTCTGGACGACAGAAAAGAGCAGTAAGGTGGATTTACAGGCACTTACAATACAGTCGTGGAGACATGACACACACACACACACATGGCATTCTTAAGAGGTTAAGAGTATAAATGGAATAAAATGTCCAGATGAGAGGGTAGGGGCACGAGAGGTATACAACATCTAGCTCAGACTTTAAATAAGGACGTCATTAGCCCATGTGCTCCCTCACTTGTTCCTTTATACACATACTATTCTGCTGCTAACTTTGGCCAGGTGATGAGGATAACTCCAGTTTGTTTTGAAAGGCAATCTCTGTGGGGATGGCTCCAACAGGATCTACAGCTGTGTTCATTTGTTTCATTCAAATTTTATGGAATGCTTTGTAAAATATTTTCATTGTTTTCAAACTCAACTCCACATTGTGTGATTCCAGCGCTAGTACTTTCCACCCTTGCTTCTCCTCATCCCTACTCTTTCAATGTTCCCTGTCCTGGCTAAAGTCCCACAAATACACTTCAATGCCCCTCTGTTCCTTCCCACCACCCCCCGTCCCTGACAGAAACTTAGTAATCCCTTTTTTTATTTCTCTTCTCCCTCACTTTACCCTAATACGCTATTGATTCTGCCTCCAAATTTATCTCCATTCTGTCTCATTTCTCGCCCCATTAACACTACCTTCTTTCAGGTCATAATTGTTGTTCTCCAAGGTTATTGCAGTAACTTCCTAGCTGCTATTTTCTGACATTGAGCGCTCCCTAAAATTTGAATGAAACAAAGGACCACAGGTGTATATCCTGTTGGCACTGTCACTAGACTATCTTTGACAGCCCAGTGGAGTCTTGTTAAGTAGGAGGCTTTGAGTCTCTAAATTTTGAAGATCGTAGCAGAGTACAAAGTGTCCCTGGGTGGCTCAAGCTGTTAACATGCTCAGCTACTAACTGAAAGGTTAGAGGTTCGAGTCCCCCACAGAAGGTAAGGCCTGGTGATGTACTATTGAAAACTCAAGTCATTACAAACCTCAAAGCACAGTTCTGCTCTGACACATACAGAGTCACACCGGTTGGAATCAACTTGACAGCAACCAGAGTTTTGGTGTAAATTGACTCCACTGTCCCTATTCTAGTATGCAGTGGCATTTTATTGCTTTTCTTGTAGGCACGCAAACGTACATGACAACAGTGAAGAAGATGGCAGTAGCAATAACCACAACATCATCGCACCACTTGATAATCGATCTCTACACGTGGACTCAGTGCTATGTGCTTTGAATAGCTTATCTCACTAAATTTCCACAGTTGTCCTATGAAGTAGTAGGTTCAATTATGTTGATTGAGGCCGTACAATGTAGAGGCTGTAAATTCAGTCTCTGAAGCCCAGTGGCCTGAGTTTGAATCTATACCTGTTAGCTGAAAGCTCTTCAAAAAGTTCCTTTAAAATACTGAGTACTCCACAGAACTAGTGAGAGAATTAAATGAGACTAGTATATGAAAGATCCTAGAAGAAAGGAAGACGTTTTCATATTACATTTGCTCTGGTAATGTCAGTAACATGCAGATTACATGTTGTATGTTGGTAGTTTTCATGGTAGAAATCTAGCCTTCCTAGTGGGGGACTCAGGTTAGAATTGTTCACAACCACCTGTCTGTCAGTGGAAGTTTGTATGCTGATCAGATGCTGAACAGGGTTTCAGTAGAGCTTTCCGACTAACATGGACCAGGAATAAAGACCTGGCAATTGACTTCCCTAAATCAGACAATGAAAACCCTGTAGATATCTACCAGTGGTTCAATCCACAAGGCTATGGAGATGGCTCAGGACTGGGCAGCGTTATGTTTCCTTGTGCACAGGGGCACCATATCAATGGAAGCTCGCAACGACAACACTGAAGTCTCAAGACATTTCCATCAGAGATGATAAGAAACGTTTCTAATGAAGACCCGTGCAAAGATAAAATGAAGCTTGCTGTACAATTTAATACAATGGTTGTTCCCAAAGGATAAAACAGTAGTACATAAATTTGTGCGCTTTTAATCATAATGATTAAAACTGATGATTTATTTTTTAGAAGGATATTTGAATCAAATGGTTTCAGGGACCCCCAAGTTACCTCCCAGGAACTCTAGAGTCCGTCAGAACCTAGTTTGAAAACTACTGTTAAGATTGTTGCACTACACTTTTGAGTTTCTGTGACTCACCAGGCAGTTATTTCATTCTCTAATTGCCTCTTCTAGCAGCCAACGAGTCTCTTTTCTGAATGCTCAAGACTGACCCCTGGGCCTCTTACCTGTGCTTCAGCCGAAGTTTGATTCCTCCCGACCTGGTTGCTTTTCTCTGCTGGGGTTCAGAGGTGAGGTGCTCAGGGCTGGACTTAGAGGCTGCAGTATCTGCATGACCCTGGCCTGCACATGTGTCTCTGACAAAAACAGGAAAACAAGAAGGTAAGTATGCTGGTATTCACGGGCATGCGCAGAATTCAATATGACAATGAAGTGTTGTGAACTACCAAGGTTAAAACAAACGACCAGTTGCCACTGAATCATTCCTGACTCATGGCGCAGCCACATGTTAGAGAAGAACTGTACTCGTTGAAAGCTGAAGACTTGAGCTGAAAGTCTGTCTCTGGTGAACTAAAATGATAACCAGGCAAGTCAAGTCCGAGCCCTAGCCTTTTCATAAAAAAAGTAAAAATAATAGGGTTTTCAATGGCTGTTTTTCTAGAAGTAGATCACCAAGTCTTTCTTTCAAGGTGCCTCTGGGTGAGCTCAAACCCCACAATCCTGGGGTTTGAGCTCACCCACTGAGCTGAACACATTAACCATCTGTACCAACCAAGAATTGTTTTTATGAAGGTAAGCTAAAAAAAGAAAACCAAACCAAATTCACTTCCATCAAGTCAATTCTGACTCACAGCAGAAAAGAACAGCGCAGATAAGACTGCCAGAGGAGTTTTGAGACTGTAAATCTTTTTTTTTTTCCCATGGAGTGGCTGGTGGTTTTAAACCTTTGACTATGTGGCTAGCAACCCAATGCTTAACACACTATGACACCAGTGCTCTTTATGAGGCAAACTTCTCTATAATACAGCATCTATCTGCAAATAAGTGAAAAAAACCTGACTCACTGACGCCAACAATCAAGATGGTCACTGCTGCCTGATTTCCCAACAGCTCCTCCCACCCCAATTCAACTTTCAGGAGAGTGATCTCCACTTGTGACCAGCCCTTGCTTGATGCAGTGGGTGGCAGCTTAGAAGCAGATGCCAACTTGTGAGCCTGAGCTATTTTGGATTGTTTAGATTCCACTGCCCTGGGAGGCAAGACTTTTGTATGTCCATTTACATCTGCCCACCCCCAGTCTCTAACACCATTCTCATAACTCTTCTCCCCCATAGTCCCAGTGAGTCTGAGGAAAAGTTTAAGCCTGCATCCCCAATGCATTCCACCATGGAGAGTTTCGGGTCCTGAACCTACAAACACCCTGATTGTACCCTTGACTCTTCCTCTTTGTCAGACTGGTTCCTGCACTGGGCTTTGAAATGTCTGAAGGGGTTTATCATCATTCTACTTTGCAGGGTCCTTTGAATTTCTGGTTTGGAAGATCTTTCTAAACTTCAGAGAGCCGACGAGTGGCCCCCACACATCTATGAACAGGCCTTGGCTGAGAGGGTATACCATTACTGGGCTGTTAAGAGCAGGCTCTGTCCATCCAGCCTTATATGCCCTGGAATACAGAACGGAACTGAAAGTGCTTTCTTCCTTAAATCCTAAAGAAAACATAAAATGTGCTTTTATTTTGTCAGGTAGGGAAAAGATGACCAGTGAGTCTACAGGCAGTTTGATTTATGAGCATAAGTTTTCCTCTTTATTTAATTACATTTTAAGTATTACCACTACATTTTCTGCATATTACATTTCTCACCATATTTAGAAGTCCTGGCTTTGAACATATTCAATAAAATTCTAGACTCGAAGTCTGAAGACTTGAGCTCAAATTCTGTCCTTTATGAAATAAAATGACAGCAGGCAAGTCAAGCCCGAGCCCTAGGTTCCTCATCTGTAAAGTGAAAATGAGGCTGTGCACAAATGCGAAGAATACTGAAAATACCACGGACTTCTAAAAGAACAAACGTATCGATCTCAGAAGTACAATTAGAATGCTCCTCAGAAGTCAGGATGTCAGACTTTGTCTCTCAGACTTCAGGAGGGAACAGTCTCTGGAGAAGGACATCATGCTTGGTAAAGGGGAGGGTCAATGAAAAAGAGGAAGACCCTCAACGAGATAAACTGACACAGTGGCTGCACCAATGGGTTCAAACAGCAATTGTGAGATGGCACAGGATCAGGCAATGTTTGATTCTGTTGTGCAGAGGGTCGCTAGGAGTTGCTGACAGGACACAACCTAGTAACAGCAACGTAACTCCCACATGGAGAGAGAATTCTACCACTAAACAGCCAATGACCTATACAATGCTTAATCAATGAACCACTTTCATTATTGCTTCAATTTAGAGCTCTTTTCAGCTAAGATGTTATCCAAAATTGCTGCAACTAGTTGATACGATATATGCTGGGAGGAAGAAGTCTTAGCCAGAGAGTTCAGATGATTCGTTCATGTTGTCCCCAGTTAGTATTTCTCACATAACCTTCAGAGGCACCAACTCCCAGTGGTTGTGTAACTTAAGATGAGATGGAAGGCAGAATTAAAGACAGCTCACATCAAACACGTGTATGTAAAGATCAAATAACATACCTGAGATCGCTGTACTCTGACAGCAAGGGGAGGCTTTTCCTTCCCAGACAAATATCAAGAAACAAGACCTAATGCTGCCTACTGGGGTAAAAAAATAAAGAGCAGCTCAAAATGTATACAAAACCTTTGTGGCCTTTAGTAACTTCCTCATTTTTGCATAAACCACAATTGTTGGATTCGTCCTTTCTGCATAATGGCATTGGCTCTGAAAGCTGGTTCTTGTCGCTTTCCTTTCTGATTTCCCTTCCTGAGAAACATGGATGGATGGGAGGTCCGAGGGGGTGCAGGCTGTCTCAGTGAAGGGCTGGCTCGCAAAGAGGAGGCAATTGGAAGAGAGAAGGAAGCATGAGGAAGATGAGGTCGTTCTTTCTAAGTATTTCCAGTGCATATTCCCTTCAGTCCTAGGAAAGCAGAGGGCAGCACTCTGGTTCCACCTTCTCTAGTCACATGTTGTCCTGCCACTGGTCTCTTCTAGACCAGCTGAGGTTAGCACTAGGTAGAGGGTTCGTGAGTGCAGTGCTGACCGTAACCCCAGACAAAGTCACAGCACTACCCTTCACCTGCTCCCTGCCCTGGCTGGCTGGATGGGGAGACCAGACATAGGTCTGGGCATCTGACTAAATGGACAACATGGCTGCATGACACCAACTACAAAAAAGCTGGACAGACTGCCAGGTGAAATCACCAGCACCCCAAGCATACCTTTCTGCCTTAATCTCTTTCTGGAATAATTTAGACACAATTCACATATTCTCATGGGAAGAAATTTCCTGGGAAACCTCAACATAGAATACCAAGCAAAAAGAAAAGCAAAAACACTGCTACAGAATGGATTCTGACCTGTGGTAACTACATGTGTTACAGAGCACAAGGGAGCTCCAAGGAATTTTGGAGGCTGTGATTTTTCACATATGCATGTGAAAGCTGGACAATGAATAAGGAAGACCGGAGAAGAATTGATGCATTCACATTCATGGCAAAAATTACTGAATGTGCCATGGATTGCCAGAAGAAGGAGCTTTTGTTTTGGAAGAAATATGGTCAGAATGCTGCTTGGAAGAGACGATGGTTAAGACTTCGTCTTTCATATTTCATACATGTTATCAGGAGGGACCAGTCCCTGGAGAAGGACATCATGCTTGCTAAAGTGTGGAGGGTCAGCGAAAAAGGGGAAGATTCCCAAGGAGATGGATTGACACAGTGGCAACAATGGGCTCAAACACAACAACACTTGTGAGGACAGCACAGGTCCAGACGTTGTTTGGTTCAGTTTTACGTAAGGTGGCTATGAGTTGAAACTGGCTCAAAAATAACAATTTTTACAGAAGCAGATAGGCCTTCCACCTGAGGTGCTGCTGGGTGGGTATAAACTGTCAACCTTTAGTTCAGTCATGGAATGCAAACCCTGGAATAAGTGTTGGGAGACCAATCACCCCAGAGACCTGCACCTGGAATAGTGACTCTGCCCTCCTCTCCCCTGGCCAGTTTTCTTATCTGTACTCTGAACTGGTGCCGTCTCCGGAAGGCACATCTTCCTCCCACCTGTTACTATACTACCTGCCTCCCAACAGACTGGAATTGATTAACGTCTGCAATGTCCACTGATCTCATCAGGGAATGAGGGCACACCACATGACTCGGGTTTACTCTAAGGCATGGGACTAGTCCAAGATTTCCTGATAAAATGATAAAGGTGTTTACCCATAAGGAGCCCTGGTGGCAAAGTTGGGCTGCTAACCACAAGGTTAGCAGTTCAAACCCACCAGCTGCTCCATGGGAGAAAGATAAGTTGTCTGCTCTGGTAAAGATTTTGTATCAGAAGCCCTTCTAGCTCACTAAACTTACTACCTTTTATAGGTTTCAGTGTGGACACCACTTCCTTGGGGTACCCTATGCTGACTGTGGCATGCCCCCCTCTGTGCCAGCCTTGAATTGCCTCTTTTGTTTTGCCAGCAACTTAATTAAAAAGAGGTTGTTGTTGTTAAGTGCCCATCAAGTCAATTCTTACTTATAGCAACCCTGTCTGTATTGGGTTTCCAAGGAGCAGCAGCTGGTGAGTTTGAACCACAGACCTTGAGGTTCAAACCGACATTGTAGTCAAGCACATTACCCCACAGCGCCACACCAGGGCCGTTTTATGTATCTTGCTGTTCTCCAGTGTGTATTACAATTTAATCACAATTCAAATAGGAATCAAAGCTGACCTAAGACGGTTTTGCTGTTGTAGTTAATGGCTGTAGAGTCAGTTCTGACTCATCGAGACCCTGTCAAAGGTTTCAAAGGAGCCTGTGATAAGTTGGAACCACCAACCTTGTGATTCAAACTGACACTATGGTATAGTGCTTATTCTACAGCATGACATAAGGTTTGTTGTTGGTCAGTGCTGTCAAGTTGGTTCCGATTCATAGCAACCATGTACAGAATTTCTAAGGAGCAGCTGGTGAGTTTGAACCACCAGACCTGTGGCTCAAAATGACCTTGTAGTTGACTGCTTACTCCACATAAGGTCTGTTATTGTTGTTAAGTGCTGTCAGGTCGGTTCCAACTCACAGTGGCGCTGTATAGGGTTTCCGAGGAGCAGCTAGTGAGTTTGAACTTCTAACCTTGCAGTTCAAACCAAACTTAAGAACAAGTGCTTATCCTACTAAAAAAATTATTGTGAAC